AGCAATGCACATGGCAATTAAAGAACAGAAGATATCATTAGAAAATGAACAAATCTGAGAGAGGTCCACATGTAGTACGTATATGTATAATATATCAAAGCAATTGGACTTGCGGTTTTCAACAAGAAGTCGAAAATATCACTTTTTACCAAAAATTACAAAAATATTCATCAAAATTAGAGAATTAAAGATATCATTATGAAATGAACAAATCTGAGAGAGGTCCACATGTAGTACCTATATATGTAATATCAAAGCAATTGGACTTGCGGTTTTCAACAAGAAGTCGAAAATATCACTTTTTACCAAAAATGACAAAAATATTCACCAAAATTAGAAAATTAAAGATATCATTACAAAATGAACTAATCTGAGAGAGGTCCACATGTAGTACCTATATATGTAATATCAAAGCAATTGCACTTGCGGTTTTCAACAAGAAGTCGAAAATATCACTTTTTACTAAAAATGACAAAAATATTCACCAAAATTAGAGAATTGAAGATATCATCATGAAATGAACAAATCTGAGAGAGGTCTACCCAAGGTACATATACACCAAGTATCAAAGCATTCAGGCTTGTAGTTTTCAAGAAGAAGTCGAAAAAGTAAAACATTGACACGGACGACGACGGACAATCACTCATATGATAAGCTCCGCTCGACAAAGTCGACAGCGGAGCTAATAACATGTATGATGTATGTGTGAAGTTTGATTGTGATTGGCTCAGGCATTTCTAAGATACAGGTCGGCACGCAAGCATGCACACACACATGGATGCACGCACGGACACACAGAGGTCAAAACATAAGTCCCTGTTTTCAGACTGTGTTCGAATGGGGAATAATAAACATCACAACAGATCACCATTTATCATATAGAGTTTAGTTAAATGTTTTCTCACTAATGTTATCCTGCAAGTGAAGTCAGGCAAATTTCAAACTAGAATGAAGATTAAATTTAGAGTGGTTAAGATATGTGTATGAGGCTTAATATTTGAATGATAAACTTACGATGTATCGCTGTAAGCAAGTTCTTCCCTATCATCTACAGGTAAACCATCTAGTAATACAGGCATATCTTCTGGTAACATATCTTGACTGAATGGATCAGTCCTACACCACAAAACAAAAAGTCCTTGTATATATCGTGAGAAACGAATGAACATTAATTACAATCACCCAGGACATGTACGTTTGTTCCCTGCACTTTGTGAAAGGAAAAGGTCCTATGATGTTTAATACTGCATTATTGAATTGCAGAAGATAAGGTCATCCTCAAACATGCCCGAGTGAACTTGTTTTGAAAATCGCTGTGTACTGCAGGTCAACCACATGCCTGTCGCAACATAATTTGTCATCTTTGAACGATCAGGCCCTGAGCCTCTTCCAGTCATAGTTGGATCGGTGACACGTTAAATAACACTATTAGCATTTTTATTTCATATTATGTTATCATTAGCCACATATAAATTGTAATAGGTACTTGAATTTTATTATAAATGAAATAAAATATATTATCATTATATATGTATTATGTTTTATGGTGGATATTATTTTGCATTTTAAATTTCAGTTATTATATGCACAGAGATATAGATCCATGGTATATGCTAATGTGGCTAATGGAGAGTGCTAACACAGAATAGTTGAAAACATCAGACAGCCGAATTCTGGAACATCACTTAAGTTACTAGAGTAACCAGATAATTTCAAGGGATCGGTGAAATTAGCAACGTCATTTTTAGGATGGTGACAAATCAAGGTTTTCCATTGGGTTCCAAATCATGCACAGCTTTAGCGATTGCAAGAAGAATATCCTTTTTATAAGTTGGACGATGAACCACCAAATTTATGGAGAAAGTATTTGAGCTGTGGCACAGTCATTCTATCAAAGTCAACCATGGTCAAAAATGTGAAACAGATACAAGAAATCACTCTGAAATTTAACACACGACACTAGGCAGATTCATGATTTAGTGCCATTTTGAGGTCAATCGTGACCTGCATCACGTGCCTAGCAACCGGTTGCTAGGTCAATTTAACAGTCTCGCAAGATATCGCACGAAGCAGAAAATAGCTTAGTTCTTGTTGAGTTGTGGAATACTATAGCTACATTTGGCTTAATGTGGCACAACTAATGTTTGAACTAATACACAATTGGTATCTTAAAGAAGCCTCAGCTTTTAATTGGGGTTCACCAACCATCAAAATAAACTAGACAATTTGTTATAAATTAATTCCATCTCACCACTGAAACCAAAGTACATGTATTTTATACATTTTTGTACATGATTGCAACAATTTCTAAATATTTTGTATCCAGTAAAGCAAATTATGCAATTTTAAATTAAATTTTGATTTCCCGAAATTATTTCAAAATCAGAGCACATGTCAGTCACTTAGAATCAAAAATACACGTTTGTAAGTTCTTGAAAAATATGCAAAAGTACAATTAAAGTGAATAGAATCTGCCAATGACATTCTAGGAAAGTGTAAGCACCTTTATATTTGTTTTAACCATCAATACTATTGCTTAAAGCAGCACCAAACTTACCATCTGGGAACCCAAACATTGGTTAGCGTTGGTGTATTTGATAGTGAAACCAGGCCTTGTGATGGGAACTTCTTCCATTGCATAACTCCACGTATCACATCCTATTGAGAAAGATAACAGTTTAAAGGTATGTTGTAAAGTTGCACTGAGAAAATTAGCTTTTCAAGGGATTACAATCACCAATTCAAATGTTCATCTCGATTCTCTATACTCCATACTCATTTCAACAGCACTTTGGGTCAACTGTCAACAGAGGGTTTCACAGTAGTTCGTAGTAAGAGGCACTATAAGGCAATGGGGAGGGGTTGGTCTTACCTCTCTGTCTAGAAATTTCTTGAGTGTAGCAGCATGTTTACTATTAGGATCTTTATGAGTATACCTTGGCAATGGACAAAGATGGAAATCAGGATCTACTTCTGCATATGGCAAAGGTGGTAAAAATACCTGTAAACCAGGTGATGGATTCTGAAAAAGACAAGCAAGTATATGCATGTTAGACCATTATTTTCTTGTATACAATTAGGTAGAATGAAGTCTTGTTAATAACACTGTGCTCTTTTTTGTAGCAGTTTTTACTATGTATCGTGCTGTTATATTGTTTTGAACAGTTGTGTCTAACTCAATCACTACTAAAATACTACTACTTCACAAATCAAATCACGTTTTCAGGCATGCAAGTTTTAACAGAATGTTAATATTATGTGAGATATATCGATATGCTGTCATAATGATATATAAAATAAATTTTTGAAATTTAGTGCCTCACCCCCTTGGCTATTATCGCCATTGAAATGAGATGATTAGTACTTGAGATATAAGTGAAAAAGCCCAAAACTGAATAGTAATATGCATGGGATTTTTAACCCAAAATAATCAGGTCTGTGGATTATTCCACAGCATCTATGTACCAAGTTTCATCAAAATCAAACAAGTTGACAACTCCCTAATATTGCCAAACCGCCAGTTGTGAACTTTAAATCTCATTTATTAGGATTTCCACATGAAGTTACACAGATCGGAAAAATGCATCATTATGACAAGGACAAATTAACGTTATATAATAAATTCTCTTAGCATTATTTTATGGATATTTTTGTGAGTGTGCATGTATGTATTAAAATATGCACACCCATTAAAATTATCAAAACTTCAAATGCAAGTGAACAAAATAGTTATTATGGATTTGTAAAAAAAAAAAAAAAACATATTTTTAATGCTATTATCTAATTGTATTGAGAAATGCCAAGCCAGTCTATAAAATTGTGAACAAATATTTCTGTAAACATTACTAATCATGAAAGACGCCCATCGTGAAGCATCATGTTTACTTACAAAAATATGTAAAGAGGGATATTCAATAGGATTGAAGAGTGCAGGAGGTGGAACTAATGCCATGGCTTGTTCCTCGTTATGTGATCTCTCTATAACTTCACCAATGAGACTCTCTGTGGGTTCATGAACCCATGCTGCTCCTGGAGGTGGTGGTGCTGGCAGTGAGATAATTTCATCCTACAACAAATAGTAAACAGTATTATTAACTTCAAACAAGTGACACAAATATTGATTTAAATTTGCAAGTTACATGTACATGATATATTTATACAGTTTAGGAATAGAAGAGAATTGATATGCCTTAAAGAAATAGGGGATTATAAGTATAAAACAGATTCAAAACGTTCGGCACCAATGATGAAAGCATGACAATATAGAGACACTAAGTAGAGATGATCATCGAGATGATACAAAATTAAAATTTTTGGGAATGCAGTGAATGAAAACTAATTTCAGAAAATAGCACGCATGATCACAGGTAGAATGTGGCTTGAACTACTGTTGGCCATTACTTGATTATGGTAGCTGTACATTCACAAAAGATATGGAAGTTATATTTACCTCAGCACCTGTCCTTAATGGTTTGACTAGTTTAGGAGGTACATACCCGCTCGATGAATTATGAGTGTTATGTAATTTGTAACCCATGCATTTGTATTGTTGAGGAACCTGATAATAAAACATAACAGTCAGTCAACAAATGTGTAGAAAACTGAGACTAAGTATCGTCAATGCCATAATTTGAAGAGCATGACAGAACTGTAGGACAACAATAGGATATTGATACTACAAACTTTATCACCATCATTACTTTGCCTTATTTCCCTAACCTGAAGGCCATGTATGGCCTAACTCTCCATTTTATGTATTGACTTCTTGTCCTTCACATAAATGGACAATAGATAGAAGTTACAGACTCCTGTATATATATTGTGTACTCCCACATTTGTGGCCAAACCTTGGGTTTGTGACAATGTTGCAATACAGAAGTAAGCTACATCTCTTAGAGTGATTGAACTAGATAGCTTCTGAAGCTACAAAATTGAAACCTTGTCGTTGGACACCGATTTAGTTGTCTAAATAAATACAGTCTATAGTGACTATCATGAATGGGAGGAGGATGGAAAAACTATTCTTCAAAATGATCTGTTTGACAACCCAAAAAGGTGTTAAATACTTCTGCCACACTCAGTTTACCTTTAAAAAATTGTGAATCACCAAAAATATCATGTCGAGTTTGGGTAGGATCCAAAAAATTTGAAAACTACAATAATGATGAAGATTTATTTTTTCCTTCTAATCTTACA